TTCAACTTTAAGGGTTTCAGAAAGAATAAAAAGAAGGGTATTGATTCCAGAGATTTTGCCACGATGTTCTGGAATTTGGGGTTGTTCAATTATTTCAGAGGTTTAACGTGGATGGCCTTTCATGGTTCTTATGACTTTGGATTTCTAGTTAAGGTTTTAATTCAACAATCGCTACCGAATGATCTTGATTCTTTTATGGGACTATTAGTCTCTCTTCTTGGTGACAAAATTTGATGTCAAACATAATTTGAAGTGTTTCGGCTTGTTGGGTAGTTTGGATAAAGTTGCGAGAGAGTTAAATGTGGTTCGTCTAACTGGGTTGAGCCATCAAGCAGGATCTGATTCTTTACTCACCCTTCAATGTTTCACGGAGTTGAGAAAATTGAATGCTTTTGAAGGGTTTCAAGTGCTTGCACTCGCATTGTATGGGCTTCAGTTGTAGGTCGACAATTCTTTCATATAATTTTCATAATGTTATATACTTTGTCGGATTATATTGAAAAATTTCAAAGTAAATCTAGTTTATTTTAGAATTGGTTGTCAGTGGGACGAATTTATAATTTATAATTGAAAATTTCAATTTTCTTTGATTTAATGTTTAATTGTTATAAATAATGAAAATCAACACCCCAATCTGCCAAATAAGAAATTCTATCTCGTGACTAACAATCAATTTCAACTGCTAATAAGAAAATAAAAAAAGAAACATTAAAAGCATAAAAGGGATAAAATTATAAGCATTGAGTCTTTCCAAAAGATATTACACTAGGAACAGAAAGAAACAAAACAAGGGGCAGTCACCTGATTTATTCCTCCTATTGACAAGAAATCTATTACTTTACAATGCAAAAAAGAGCTTATAGTTTACATAAAAGTAATTGTTAGTAATGCAGCTTAAAGGTCGGGGTAGAAATTGTTGTGCCGCATTGCCTTTGCTTCTTCCAGCTATCCTCTGAGCCTCAAACATCCCTGATTTTGGCACTAAATTTACTATATAGTATCAATGCCGTTTCCCGTTACTCCTCTACAATCCAACCAACAATGTTACATGTATTAACTTGATTCTTTAAAACTTTTCTATTCTTATTTATCGATGAGATTCTTGGTCAGACACATTTACAACCATTATTCTTAACAAGTCATTCATCACCATATTCGTAAAGTGCGCCAATGAATAAATCCACCTAATTGAAATATGGTGACATCAGTAATGTTGAGGCTCAATTATTTAGGTTTCTATAATAATAATGGATCTCATCTCCATAACTATTTGAGTTTGAGGCTCAATTTTAAGTATCAGCAGTGTTAAAACTTTAACCAACCGAATATCAATTTTAATTCATATTTAGTGTTAAGGTTTATATTAAAATTTTAGTTTAGTATTTTAGATTATAAAATTAAAAAGGAATAATAGTCCTTTTAATTTTGTTATTAACAAGCAGTACCCATTGAAAGTCAGTGTTACATAGCCATAATTGCATGCATGAAAAAAGGGATTGTCTCATGAAAGGCGGGTTAATATACGGTTAATATACGGCGTTACCGGATACATTAAAAGATATTTAATAAATTCGGTTTAGCGCTACCGGAAATGTTGACTAATAATAATGTAGTATGTCTAAGTCATGAAGAAATATTAAAAAATTGTGCAACCAGCAAACTTAACTTGTCGGTTCGTGTCGATCCAAATTAAAATGTGTCGATCCAAAATGATATAACAGGTAAAACTATGACAAAACCGGTATTGAAATGATAAAACCGGTAAAACGCTATCGGATACATTTAAAGTGTCGATACTTTAATATAAGGATCGACACTTCGTGAATTTAAAAGAGAAGCAGTTTTAAATCCTATAAAGTGTCGATACTTTTAAAAAATGTATCGATCCAAAATGATATACCAGGTAAAAATATGATAAAACCGGTAAAACGTTACCGAATATATTGAAAGTGTCGATACTTTATATAAGGATCGACACTTTGTGAATTTAAAAGAGAAGCAATTTTAGCGCCTATAATGTGTCGATACTTTAAAAAAATATATCGATCCACAACAATATAACATTTAAAAATATGATAAAACCGATATCAAAATGATAAAACCGGTAAAACGATACCGGATATATTGAAAGTGTCGATACTTTCGTAAGTACGTGTAATAAATTATCGACACTTTCAAAGAAATAGGTAATTATCCTTTCGAAAGTATCGACACCTGGCATAAAAGTATCGACACTTTTGTATTTGTATCGATTAAATATAAATAACATATCCGATGAAAATATAAAGGCCATATCTAAATATCCTCTGAAAATCGATAGAACGAACGAGTTTTTGAAATCGAAACGTAATTGTTGATGCATTTCAGAAGGCGTTTCTAAAGCGATGTTTGTTTGTTTGTTGATGCAGTCGAATCGAAAAAGTATGTTGTCGAAACCCTAGTTTTTTTATTATTACAGTAATCGCGAATAGGGTTTTTATGTGTTGTTTGGGGTTTTGGAGTAAAGAAGCATTTGTGACCGATTGCAGGTAGAAAGTGATATTGAAGGTAAAATTTAAATGTCGATACTTTTATTAAATATTATAGGTAGAAAATGATATTATAGGTTGTATAAATGTGCCGACACATTTTGTAGTGGCCATTCAAATTCTTTTGAAGAAAACCGTTTTACCACAAGAGTAGTTATCTATATTTGTATATTGCAGGTGAATTACTACTTTCAGCGGGCCTATCATCTCCCGCTTCACTTCTAAAGCTACCATGTCCGGACATCTATAAGAACATAACCATATCGTTCTATTAGCAAAACAATATACTTACTATTATATCAGATCAGAAGTTTTCACTATTTTGTTGGCATGAATACTTTATAGGACACTCTAGACTCTGGTTTATGCCGAGAATCGACTAAATCGTAGCTTTGATACCATTAAATGTAACACCCTCAACCCGTACCCGACCCGGATACGAGTCCGATGTGTCACATTGACTTTTCAAACTTTGACTATTGACGAAAAATCAAGGAAATTTAAAACTTTCATTAAAATAACACTGTTACTTTACACAAGTTAACCAAAACAAGACAAAACTGATCAGAGCATTTGTAACAGACACTTTTCTTACATACCAACACTATACACGGCAAAAGACATACTTTATCCGTTACTTCTGATCTGATCTTCTAGCAGTGCTACTGTTCTTGCCACCCTATTTCCGCTCTTCCTGATTCTTGGTACCTACGTGTAAATCACTTACACGCTAAGTCATAGACTTAGTGAGGCATATAAATATAATAATAATGCATTTAGTATGAATATGAACATGCAATCTATCCATTCAATCCTGTCGTATACAATTCAATGTAAACTATAATAATAAGGTAACATACAACTATAACAATGTAATTACCTTTGATAACCTTTTATAGGCCCATGTACATTTTTGAGAACTCAAGGTATTCGAGTACATTGAGGTTGTGCACTATGTTGTCACCACAACTCGTATGGGTTCCACTAGGGGTTATGAAATTTTGTCCCGAATGACCTATATATTGTATTTGTCCCGAAGGACCACTCCTTAAGAACCATATACATATTCCAGTGGATCAAATCTGTCTCAAAAGACACTGTAAATGTTCCAAAGGATACATATATGTCCCGAAGGACCACGTAGAACCCTCAACTCTTGGCATGCCAACTATACCTATAGCTCTCATATCGTATATCATGGGCATTATTCTTATATTTCATATGTTCATGTATTCATGTCATTTCTCTTGTGATCATATAACTCATATCACTTACCATGCCACATGTGCATTTAAATATATTCACATATATCATTTATCAAATCATATGAACATATAGACTTTATGCATGTATCATAATAATTATCATGTATGCATGTTTAAAACTATTGTGATATGAAAATCAGCCTAGGAATTAGACTTATCACAAGTCTTATTCCATTGTACCATACTTCTAATATGTACTCACCTCAGCCTTGCTTTGACTCGATTCTAATCCTTCGATTGTTTTGGAATAAGATTATGCTCTAAATCTACATAGTAATACAATGATACTTATCAGCATACGAATTGATATATTTCAAACTATAAATCCTTAGGCTAAAAGAAAGTTATTTCCATTTCTTATTGAAGGTATGCATCGATGCACTACACCATGTATCGATGCATCCCTTGACGGGTGCATCGATGCACTACCCATGCATCGGTGCATAAATCTTATTCGATGTTTGTATTTTAAGCAGGTGCATCGATGCACTCCTTATGCATCGATCCATTAATGGCATTCGATGTTCATTTAATTTAAATGAGTGCATTGATGCACTCCTTATGCATCGATGCACCTTCAACAAATTCTGGGATTTTCTCTTGATGCATCGGTACACTTTGAATGTGCACCGATGCACTCTGCCCAGAATTCATATCTTGAACTCGAAAACTTATCAATTTCAGCTTAAATCTTTCATGTTTCATCCCCTTTTATATTCTTAACTCCAGTACACATACTTAAACCAATCTATACTCATTTATTTCATCTTAAACCTAAAAATCCTATCCTCCTTGTGAAATCCAAGAATTATACCAACTTTGTAACATGATTTAATTCAACTTCTAACCCTTAATATATCTTAACTAGATTGATGACAAGTCAAATTTAACTTCCAATTCTATATATGAACTCTATTCCAAAATTTCATTCAAGAACCTCTAATCTTTAATCTCTTCTAACTCCATCATCCTTTGATTTTAAGATAACCTAAGCTTTCCTTAAGCTTAGTTATCATCTAATAATCAAAACCCAATCTTAAATTTAACAAGAAACTCAATAATCAGAAAACTCACCTTTGTTTTGCTTTACACGTACAAGGAAGAAAGAAGAAGAAGAGAACTCTGGAAGCCTTTGGTGTTCTCTCCTTTTCAACCCACGTGTACTCATATATATCCTTTCTTTAACTAATTTTCCTTGCAAATGACTCTTTTGCCCTTCCATTCCATCTTCTTTTCAATTCAATCCTAAACAATCATTTATATATATATATCTTTATACTATTCATTCATTCTATTTTAATCACCAAAATCTGAAACTTTCCAATTTAGTCACTAACTCGGTATTGAGGATGTTACATCTGCCCTCATGAACTCATCTGCTTCAACGATTCTTCTAGCAGCTGCTAAAGAAAGTGAACCTGCTAGCTCTGCTGTTGTTTCTGTGAGTACCCCCTACACCAAATTAGCAGTTTAGCACTAGCATTAGCACAACATTTCTACCCCAAAATTACTGAAACAACTTTGAAACCATTTTCCACACGGTAAAAAGCTTCCATTTCCTATATGAACAAGATAGGTATGTATTAGTGACTACTTAGGCTGCAAGTTTATTTATTGTTTTAGCATTACAGTTCACTGTCTGACATATGATCCATTATCGAACACAAGGGGCTTAGCACTCATTAAGGCGATGGAAACATACCCAAATATGATTAAACTAGCCTATTGAAAATCAGAATACAAAGGTGAAAAAATACAGCTATCTGCAACTATGTGTGAAACTGAACTTACAGGAGTATTGCCAACAGCAACACCATACTTGTTAGCAGCATTAACATCAACATTGTTGTAACCAACAGCCATGTTACTGAAAGATTTGCCTCCTGCTCTGCTTAAGGCCGCGAATAAAGTGTCCCCCCGGTCTTCAGTTAACTGTAAACACAAATTCCCAACTTAAAAAACACAAAAAAAGAAAACACTTATAATTAAAACCGAAGTCCCATGAAGAATTCACCTGTCCAATCACCCCATCGAACTTATCGCCAATCAAAGCAATGATATCGTCAACAGAAAGAATTGTTTTCTTCTCGGTACATATCTGAAAAGAAAATCGGATTCCATCAAAAGAAGAAGAAAAGAGTTTACCTGACTAGGCAAACGAAGACAGAGGATTTAGAGAAGAGAAATGCGTAATTACTTCGACACTGCAATCTTGCTCGATCAAGAGGTTGATCCATCGAGTTCCAGGCATGGGTTTTGTGCTGATAACTCTGTATTTCCCATTTGGATTCAACACTTCGATCGAAACTGGCTTCGCCATTGAAACTAGTCACTGAAAAAAACAGAGCGGAGCTGGAAACTGAGTTTTTAAATTTCAGTTTACTCTGTTTCTTGCTTTTATAGCAATGGTTGGGTGTGGTGAGGGACACTGAATTAAAATGGTCTGCAATGGGATCATTGGTGAAATGAAGAAATTTGTTGAGTCTGAATCGTCGGTGTTGGGTGATAATCATGTGGAGCAAGATAAGATTGTTGGTTTGTAGATTTTGATTCCTTTTGGTTTTGGATAGAAGGATGGACTGGTTGGGGCTGCGGTGAGTGTTGGGATGATGCTTTTGGTTTTGTGGTATAACTTAATTGCTGACATGTCTTTTGCATATGGGTGACACGTATGAGAACCATATATATGTTTTTCTCAAATGACGGAAATAGCCTACGATTAAGTGGACAAATTATAGATGACCAATTAAAAGAGAGAATTAGAGTGTAGATGAATAAAGTCTTCGATTAATTGTTCGTAAAAAAATCGTATAATATTTGTTTATATTTATTTATTACGTTAAATAAACGATTATAAATAATATTTTTCATGTGCATTTAATAAATAAATAAACATGAACAGAAGTATATTCAGTTTATTTATATTTATGAATAAGTTCCTTTTGCATATAAGGTCATATATGTTCAAACACTCTCGATCATTTGACAATAAACACTCATACATTGCATACGCGGTGCTCAAATCCGAAATCTAAAGGGATAACAACAAATCTATGAGCCACTTAAACTGCTTAGTTCGTATAATTAAATATAATTTTAATAAAATGATATTTGCTACTCGGAAATTAAAACTTATTTTGAATTTAAAAAATATTGACAGTTTCACCGATTTTATTAAAATTACCAACAGCGATTTAATGTCAAATAAAACTGAACATAAGTTGGAATAAAAAGAATTTAAAACAAAAATTTTAATTTCTTTTTTCCAAAATAAGTGTACAAGAGAAAACAAAGGCCAACTTGAAACGGACTAAAACCGAAGAAATTTAGAATGGAAATTTCTTTTTATAAAAAAATTACTCAAAAATATGCCAGTACGTTAATACGAATTATTTATTTTATTAAATAAAATTTTACAAATATATTTTGAACCTAAAATATTTATTTTTTTTTCTGATAAAATATAGTATACATTAAAAGGGTTTTAATAACCAGCCTGGTATCGACTGAAATTAAAAAGTTTAAAAGCTAGCCTGACCCAATTACAAGAACGGGCCGCAACAACTTGCACGGGTGTGCCGTGCGTGTGGGGGGAGTGGGCTAGCGCGAGAACCGTATGCCGTATGTATGTGTGAGGCCGGAGAAGATTTTTTCTTGAAAAAATTAAAAATATTATCAAATATAAAACTCATCTAAGGACTATACTTTTTATTATTATTAATTTTTATGATTAAGTTGGATCTTTTTAATTTTTTTAACACCAATGTATTGGATAATATTTAATTTTTTTAACAACTGCAAATCTTTCTCCCATTTACTTTCACTCTAATTGATTTGTGACACATGTCATTAAAATTAGGATCAAATTAGTAGATTGTATAAGTATTGGGGATCAAATATATAATTATATTAATTTTATTAATTATTAAATCAATCCTTCGATTAGATGTTATCTGCAGGTGACTTTATTGATTTTATTTAAATAGTTAAGTGGTCCGATTGATAAAATTTAAAAAATAGATGGTTAAAGTGAAAGAGAGACAATAGTTAAGTGATCATATGTATAATTTACCCATTGTTTTAATATTTCATCAAAATAATATATAATTTTTTTGGTTAAATAATATATAATTTTAATGGGAGAAGCATAACCCAAACAACATTTTTGTTAGAATTTGATTGGTTCTCTAAATTGTGAGATTAAATTTTGGAGAAAATTCAAAATACTAATAAGGTAGGGTTTAGTCAAAATATATACAAAGATGAATTTTAGAACTAAATATAATCCCCATTTTCATTTTTCAGTTAAACCCCTTATTTTCTGCCTTCCAAAACTTTATCTTCAACAAATTCCAAACTTTCTCTGCTAAAATCTTAATCTTTTTAAAGCCTTAAAATTTACAGGGAAGCCATGGAAAGGCTTCTGTACTCTTCTTCTCCAACCCCTTCGGAGATCTCTCGAAAGCCCTCTCCTTTTCTACGTCGACTCGGTATATTCGGCTCTCCTAAACTCTGTTTCGTTCCTTCACTCACTCGGCCACAACTCAAGCGAACCATCTCAGTTTCATGCAAGGCCGATAATAACCCGTCTCATTTTTCTTATCCCCGATCCACTCCCAGCAATGAATGGCCTTCACCGGGATCTCCGCGAGTCGACTCAGCAACACCCACTTTCAATTTTCTCAAGCTTATTGCAATCAAAGCCTCTGCACAAAGAAAGGTATATAGTCTATACAAGTTTTTTTTTATTATTTATAGAATTACTGCAAGTTTTTCCCCTTGCATTTATCGATGAAAGAAAATAGAAGAAATATTTGAGGAGTTTTCAGGGTTTTTATTTTGTTATCACTTCAATTGAACTTAAGAAATTCCGAAATTTGTGTTTAATTATCGTATTGGAATATTTTTTTATTTGAGTGCAAAGGTCGACTAAGTGAATACTCGATTAAGGATTTCTAGTTATAGAGTGAAGAATCATAAACAGGGAACTGGATATTGAGTTTCAATTACCTCAGTTTTTTGGTTCTAGCTGGTACAGTCAAATAGATTCCAATTTAGACATTAATGATTTATGCACACATTTGCAAATTTAGACCAATCAGTTAAGTAGATTAGAATAATGGACTGGAACCAGCTTTAGTAAGAGTCTACTATTTTTGCAACTTCTTGTTAAATGAATTAGGTCTGGCCGAACTTCGCGAAAAGCTGAAGAAGAGTTCTACTTTGCTCATGTACAGCGGCAAAGCATCCGTGTCATTTGTGTAGAGCTTATCATACCATGAGCTGATTAAAATTTTATTGCTGTTACCATTACAGCTACTGATATTGCTAGTGGTTGATTGTGTAGTTTTTTATCATAGGTAGAACTCGTGCATTTTTAAATATGATTCATTCACTATTGCCGACTACCATGATTCTGAGATCTGGGTAGATGAAAGGCAGAACGGCCTATACTATGAATAGATGTAATTTAATCTGAAAATCCCTGTCAAAGCTGGCATCCCATGACTGGGGGATATTTTGTTATGCATTTGTCACATTTAGCATAGCATTTACAGTTTATTAGGTATTAAATTCTCTGTGAAAACTTTTCAGGGAATCACAGCTGGGACGTTTATAGCACTCTCTGCCATTATCATGTTATTGATCCAACCAATTTTTGCACCAGCAGCTTTTGCAACTTTTCAAACTGGCGTTAAAGCCGGTGGAACTGCAGCTGCTGCAGTGGGAGGGAGAGTAATTCGTGCTGAATTAGTAAGTAGCGCGGTGTCCGGTTTCTTTGCTGGTTGCTTACACACCCTTTCAGGGCCTGACCACCTTGCTGCTTTGGCTCCACTATCTATTGGTCGGACTCGAATGGAAAGCGCTGTTGTTGGAGCTCTATGGGGTTGTGGCCATGATGCTGGTCAGGTTATTTTTGGTTTACTATTTCTACTACTAAAGGATCGCCTCCACATTGAAATTATCCGGACTTGGGGTACAAGGGTGGTGGGCTTAACATTGCTTGTTATTGGGGCTATGGGTATAAAAGAAGCTTCAGAAGTTCCTACTCCTTGTGTGGCCTTAGAAAATGGTGACTTTGATGTTAGCGTTTACGAGGCACTTGAAAACCCGATAGTAGGGAAAAAGAAGATTGGTTTTGCTACTTTTGCCACAGGGATTGTTCATGGATTGCAGCCAGATGCACTAATGATGGTTTTGCCAGCACTTGCTTTACCGTCTCGCCTGGCTGGTGCTGCATTCCTAATAATGTTCTTGCTTGGAACTGTGGTAGCAATGGGAAGTTATACTGTGTTTATAGGCTCTTGCAGTCAAGCATTAAAGGATAGGGTTCCCAGAATTACTGAAAAACTTACATGGGCTTCTTCTCTTGTAGCCATTGCTCTTGGAGTAGCCATCATCGTAAGCCAATTTTTCGGATTTAGTCTCTATTGATCTACCTGACACTCCATCAAGATATTCACCCCAGCTTCTTTAGAACTTAGTGAAGATGTTAGAAAGCATATTCGGATTTATTTTCAGCAATATTTTATCTGAGAAGCATCTTTGCACCAATTACCTTTTGTTGTTTCATTGTAGTAGAACTGTTTGGAAAAATTCTTCTATTACTACGGTTAGAATATCGAGTTTGTTATGCCATAAGTTATATATTTCTTGAATTATCTATGCTAGTTTACATCAAAACAATGGCTATCCAAGCAATAAGGTAAAAACACTTATGTCCACTTGTCACGAGATCATTACTCTTTTTTCCATTATACAATGTTGGATAAATGCACCCACTTTGCTCGAGTGATGCCAAAAATATTCGAAGCGAAGTGAGCAACATATTGTGCTCTAAACTTTGCTTAGACTATTTCTATTTTCAAATACTTCCATTGTCAACTGAGATTTGAGCAAAACACTTACCATTCATATTCGTATTCATATTTGAACACAGCTAAATTTAAAATTAAACCGCTTGGATTTCAGTTTCAAGAAATCTGAACCTACATCTCAAGTCTCAACCCAAAAGAAACAGAAAAAATCAAGGATGCCTTCTCACCCTGAACAAATATTTATTTGGAAAAGGAGTCATCAGTGTCAACATCTATACCTTAACGTCATGGATATATGCACTCGATGCTAGAAACAAAACTCTGCTCTCGGAAACTCGAATCAGTTATGACTTCTGCTTTTTTTCAGTGTCATAAAGCACACATGCGTCTGCTGCCGTCTTCATCTGAAAACCACCAAATAAACTCCACTAAGATCCAGATCATACAACAGTTTAATTGGTGTGATGCTCGAGCAAAATCAATAAAAACCTCAAGCATTTCATTGGTTAATTAGGAATTAACTAATATAAACTGAGAACTTTTTCTGTTTCAATCGGAACCAGTGGTGTTTCTAATGGAAACTAACTTATGTTTTATCTTAATAGCTGATCTAGGAAGTTCAGCTCAAGATCAAATTAAAGTACAGCTCAAAATGCAAGTATCTTTTTTCATGTCACGTTGAATACCAAGTATTCATACATCCATATAAAGTCTAGCATCAATTCGATTCCCCATCTTATATATCAACCAAGTTAGACCATCTGAAGAACCATTACAACAATTTGACTGGAAGTGTGGAATTAAATTGATGCAAGTTCGAATAAGTTATAAAGCATATGTGGCTACCTGTATAATATTGATGACCTGCTTGATTGAACACCCAAATAAGCTGATACCAACAAGAATAGAAAGAGGTGAATGTTCTTTCAAGGTAGTCACTACAACCTGAAATGAAAAAAAAAACATCAAAGCAGTTAGAAATCAAAACGCAAAGGGATCTGCTCTTTAAATGGGAAAGGAAGCATTACACAAGAATCCAGACTCACATCCATCAAATCTTCAGTATGGTTTTTCGAAATAAGAAACAAGGCTATGTAAAGAACCTGTAAAACTCAAGATTTCTTGATCAATACACAAGTACCAAAAAACATGTCAATGTAAATGGTGGAAATGATTTAAAATTTATAATTACCTCGCAAGCCACACAACAATAACCCATAAACATCCTGTTTCCATAGTAAAGCTTGAAAAGCCAATTGGAGCTATCTTTCACATCTTTATGACTAGCCTTACCTACTAGAAATGAACTGCAACATAAATATGAAGAGTTAACAAGTAAAGACATACCTGAGTTTTTTTTATATAAAAAAATAGGAATGAAATATGTGTTTCAAGGAAAAGCAGCAACCTGTACATCTGCAGCCAGTGGCTAGCAATATCTAGGGCTAGCAAAGACAAGAAAACCAAGCTAGGCCTGCGCAAAAAACGTGACAGATATAGCAGGATGCAAGTATATCAATTTGGCAATATAAATACAAACGAATGAATGGAAGAAAACTTACATATACACTTGAGAAAGTATAACCAGTAGGCAAGCAGTGCTAATCCTGAATTACAGAATCGAGAAGAACCACTATGTAAACAACTATGTAATTCAAAGTTTCTACCAGCATTTACTGAAAAAAGACTATATATGTGTAAGGTATCCCAAAAGCTCAATTTCTATCACAGATAGAGATAGTGTACCTATCTGTTACCATGTCCAGAACAGCTCCGAATGTTGAAGCTGAGAAAAAAACAAATCACATTTTGTATCTTAGAGATGCCGTTCCAGTGTGACATACCTTCCTTTTAACATTCCACAAAGAATGATAATTTAAGTAATTAAATTCCTCAATGTGCTATATTTTATCCTAAATTTAGAATGCACACATGCCATCTTTACATTATTACTTGGACTACTTTCACAAATTTTAAAGATTAAAAACCATACCTTGGTTGAATTTGCGAGCACACCAACCATCCACAGCATCACAAACAAAGCTGCAATCCCAAATTTAATCATATTCAAGTCTATCAATTCAATCATTTCTAAAAAGCAGACAAAGCGTCCTATGTTAGATGCAATTCTCACCTTAGAAAATACAGAGCAGAAAAAAGTCTTTTGCTGGAAAAGCATATAGCAAAAGCATAGCAATTCAAGAGAATTCTTATATAACCTACAACCACAAAATGAAAAACGTTTTATTTATTTATTTAAAAAAAACCCAAAGAACCCAAGATGTAATTTTTCATGCATAACCACAGAAAAGCTTTTAAACTCAAAACCTATTAAGAATTCAAAAGTGGAGAAGAACTAACCAATAATATTGGGAATATAAAGATAAACGGAGAGCTGGCTTGGTTTCGGCTTAGGCTTAGACTTGTTGGCCATTGAAATTTATCTATAAGAATCAAACCTGCAAGAAAAAAAAATGGGTTAAAATAAATTGAGAGTAACAATTAGCCTAAATAAGAAGAAATTGGATCTGGGTACGACCTTGAAGAGCAAATAGTTGATGTTTTTTGGGTGAAGTGTAGATCTTTATGAAAGAAAAAAAGAAAAACACGAATCTGAGAAATGTGAAAGCCCTTACCTTTACAGCCAAAGCTTCGAGGTATACAGTTTTTTTTCACGGCCTTTGAACTGATTCCTTGCTTAAAGATTTAATCTTTGTTTAATCACAGTTGGGAAAACAATAATCTTTAAACTTGCTCGTGGAATAATATGATAACTATCTTGTAATCTTTGAAGTTAATAAAATACGGTTCTTCGAGCTTTTTCATACATTGGCTAACTTGGGAAAAGATTATTCTTTTTGAGTAAATACACAAACAATCCTTCATTTATTCTTGATTATTTAATTATAGCAATTTTTATTAGATAATAAGAGATTCCAGCAAATATAGCAATTAATTGTAGTAAAGTTCGCCTACAATTTGATACCAATCCCAAATGGTGTACACGATATAAATCAAGGGTAAATATACATTTTGAAACCTGAATTTGGTTTTAATGTTCAATTTCACACCTGAACCTTTCTTTGGTCCAATTAAATATTTGAACCTGATTTTTTTAGTTCAAATTAAAAGTTAAAGTTGATTTATTGGCTTAAATTTGTATTTAAACTCTATTTGGCTTAAACTAAAAGTTGATTTCTAGTTAAAAATATTTGAAATAAATTATCATAGTAAACTTGTACCCAAACATAAAAATATTATATTAATAATTTTAAAATTAAGAAATAAATCATTTTAAAAAGTATGATATATTGTATTATACAAAATGATTATAATCCAAACTAATTTTTTAATATTTTACAAAAAAAAATAGAAATTCAAAACTTATAAAACTTAGATATGAAAAATTCCATACTTAACTTTTTAACATTTAAACAATAGAATCGAGAGATTTATTAATAAGTGAATTTAGATAAATGTGAGCAAAAAAATGATTAACCAATTAAATTTAATGAAATAATCCAATTTAGGCAGTTAACAAATTTGGTTTAAATAAATTTAATTGGTTGATTTTTGGTTTTGGTTTTCTGGTCTAAACAAAATAAATAATTTGGGCATATGTTTTTAGTAGTATTTATCTAATCCAAAAATAAATACTAAGACCAAATCATTAAATACCCAACTTAGGCACTTTTTGATAAATAAAAACTTGGGCCTTTACTCATATTCAACCTAACTTTTGGGGTAAACACAGATGATTTTTTTTATGTTTTTGGTCAATTCAATTTTGGTCATTAGTTTAAAAGAATAATAATTTAGGTCTCTTACGTTAACAGTTTGTTCGATTTTAGTATCTCGACATTAACTCCCGTTAACTCATTAACGAAAGTCTGAGTTAGGAATTAAAAAGTAAAAAAAATCAATGTATTTTCTTCTTCTTCGTCAAGAGCGAGCATCTTCACAAGTCGATCAACACATTGTTGCACTCTTTTGATATTCAATGAAACTCCGTAAACTAATCTTGATTTCAAATAACATAGATGACTTTTATCAATAGGAGAGAACCGAAATCTACAGTCAGAATAAGGTCTGACTTCATGACGGTCGCAGGATCCAGTTACACTTAAGCCGCTCAAAACCGTACATTCATAACCACTTAAAAGATGACTTCAAATGAATTAGTGTGGAAAATCCAATAACATTACTTACAGATTTTTTTTGCCTCTTTTTCACTTCTCCGACATACTATATATAATATAAGATTACAAATATATAATTTTTCATTTTTTAATTCCAAATTAAAAAGAAAAATCCTAAAACGAACCTAATATTAAACATAGAATAGCTTGTGATTCTCAAATCTGACATAACGTTCAAAATTATCTCACCAGTGACTGCCAAACCCAGAAATAATAGCCCCAAATAATATCAAAGGATCAGTCTGAATCATACGGAGTAATATATTATTGCAACCAGTCCACCACTACCTAGTCAATAATTTCAAGATCAGATCCCTGTAAATGTCTGTTCAATTCATTTTTCTATTTTTGCTTGTTTAATTACAATGTCTAATATGCCAGTACAACCTAAAAAGGCAACCAAACAAAAAACCTAATGAACATCCACATGGCTTACTTGTTTTCATCCATCATCATCATCATCATCAAGATCAGATCTTTCCCTTTCCTAGCTTTTTTTTTCCATGAATTTTTTTTCTGGTCCTGCCTAGGAAACCAATGCCTCTATGCTACCTTTCTTAGCTGTTTTACAAACGGGGCAAGAATCAAGAAAAACCGCGCAATCCTTGCACGAACAGAGGTGCCTGCACGGGAGAAACAACACGAACGAATCTCGACGATAGCAGCATTTGCAAACCATTGTTCTTTCTTCTTCGTCGTGTTCTTTCCTTCGATAGGCCTGGAAAACAGTGTTGTTGTTTTCCTCAGGTTCGCATTCGCAGCAAGACTCGGCATCGTCAACGCTGTTGTTGAACCGACAAGAGGCTTGCTCCCGTAGCTGTTCGAGCCGGTTGTTCAAAGAGAGAACCATCGCTTCATTCTCTTGCGCCACTCTCTGCCACGCTTGGCTCTCCATCTCGAGTCTTCCCAACAGATTTTGCAGCTCCATTGCTTTGTTCGTCGCCTTTACAATCTCTTCGTCTTTCTGGTTGAGTAAAACACACGCCCTGGTTTCGATCTTCTTCGCCAGTACTGCCAATTGTTGCTTCCTCTGCTCTTGCAGCAACAATCTCAGCCTCTCATTCTAAAATCAAACGAAAAGAATATTAAGAACCCAATTTAGAAGAAATCCCAAGATTGATTTTTTATTCTTTTTTGGTTCTAACCTGTGATTTGATGAACTGGTCAATCTCGTGCCTTTGCTTCTCGACTTGAGAAACCATGTTTTGGCTAAACATCATGGATTCAAGATTCTGGTTCCTTTGCTTCTGGTTTTGTAGATACTGAAATTGCTGCTGCTGATGTTGCAGTTGTTGCAGGTGTGATAACTGATGAACACTTAAACCGTATTGATTGAAACCGGCACCAGCACCGATACCGCAACCATTTTCGATCAAATCCAAAGAACCACAGAATGGAAACCCGATATTATCAGCATACAACTGCGCTTGTACAGCCATGTTCTCCTTGATCTTCAACCACCAAACAAAAACAAACAACGCCTCGAAAAGAAACAATCTTTTTCTTTTAATCCACAAATCTCTTCGCTTTGACCAGATAACAGATGGAAATCTGGAATGGGTTTTTGCAGTTTGGATCAAAGAAACTCAAAGTAGACATGAAAACAAAATGATGGTAAAGGGTGTTGGTGTGTATTTATAAGAGAGAAGGGAAGGGTGAGATCATATAATGGGTTTTGATTTTGATTTTAATTATAATTAAATGAAAAGGCAAGAAAGGAGCGCATAGGATAATATAATAACGATCGTATAGGAATGCAGATGCCACGTAATCGACGTACACATGCAGGTTTTACGACTACACCTATGGAATCAATAATTCAATGTCAAATTCAGAATTTAGAACAAGTGTGTGTTTATATTAAATAATAATCCAACAATTTGAGAGTAACCGAAAGTCTTATTTAACATTGCTGCCACTAAGGAATTTAAACAATCTATCAAGATAAGTGCACTCCGAAATTCATTTATTTCATTATTTTATTCTACCTAGAACCCACGTGGTAAAAATGTTTATTATGTTGTTGTTGGCATTGTAATGTGAAGATAATTGATCCACAACTTTCCTTGTATATTTCAATTATTATTCCCCTCTAAATTTAAAAATTTAGTATCTAACTAAATAATAAATTTTTGAGTATATAGGTCTATTTTTTTTTGGGAGGAGAAAATAAGCTACCTAATTACAATATATTACCCGGAGGAGTTATTGTCTTAAAACATGAAATTTACCGATTCGACTGGAGGATCCAAGAAAACTCAGTAGTCTATGGTTCCGGAGCTGATGATTTTAGCAAGGCTATCAACCACTTTGTTTGCTTCGCAGCTAACATGATTAATTACGACCGTCCAATTTCTTCCCATTAGCTCGAAGATTTTTTTTTTGCAACAGTGTGATGGTCACTTCATTTTTTTTTTGTTTCCTTTGGAGTCTATTAGCCACCTCCATGCTATCCACTTCAACAATTACCTTCTGTTCCCCTATTCTACATGCTTGTCGTAACCCTTCATACGCACTCGAAATTGAGTTTTGCTTCCATGACTGAGCATATTTCGACAGATCTAGAGAATCCTAATATCCATTTACCTTCCCAATTACGGATGACTCCTACACATGATGTGAATCCCGTATTGTTGTTACGTGCACCATCCGTATTCAGTTTGCACTAGCCAACTTGGGAAGCTGTCCATGTCTTTGTTTCTTGGTGACTTTGTGTCTTTCTTGCATCGTTTCCTTTTGCTGATAATGTCACTGCTTGGCTATCTTGCTGCATGTGTCGGCTGCGATCCATGACGCTATCTACTCCAATGCTTTATGGATCAAAAGAGCAAGTGTTCTGATGTAGCCATATAGTCCATAAAATGGTTTCGAATAGTATGTCCCACTCTATTTCCTCAATTGCAAAGTACATGTTTTAAGCTTGATCAGACTCATATGGGTATAATAATTAAAAAAAATTATGATACGTAGATTTCTCTACTAGTTGTTTTCTGAAATACTTGTGATCTAAGTATTTAAAACTTCTTTTAACAAGTCATACTAATTAGTGTTTGATCAAATTCAAGACTTGTCTTTGATAGCTTAAAATCAATAACTTTAGTTATTAGATTATCAAATCTCACATTGTTTAGATATTTTTTTTAAGTTTAAATATAATTTTTTAAATATGCATACATTGAGTGATTAAGGATAAGACTCATATACGTACGTTGTTATCGTTGCCCTTCGACTCATGTAAACATGTGTGTTTGACACATATTGTACGTATTTTTTTCTTTTCGGATAAAATTCATCTATTTTTTTTCATTTTTAGCCCTTTTCCCCTCATTTGCATTTTGGCCCATAAGTATGAAATAGAGTATTTTAAAAATTAAATTTTAAGGGATAATATTTAGGTTAAAAAACCAATTTCATGGGGCGTTTTTAGAAATAAATTTTAGCTTATCAAATTCAACAAAAACGAAGGGTTAATATTCATGCACCTCCTCAGTATTATTGCTATAATTAATTATTGTTACAACTACTTTGCTGGTTCATGTAATAATTTATTAAACGGAGTAGATTCAGCTTGCAATTTAATAACTTGTCTTATTTTTATGATATGACTGATTTTTCGTCAATGAGTTGGTGCTTATCGGCTCAATCGAATTAAAACAAGTTGAATCAACATATCACATCATATTATACAAGTTGATAAAATATTTTACATGTTCATGTTAGGGTTAGAGGAAAAAGAGAGAATCTGAAACTGACATAAATAGCAGAAGACAAATTGTTCCTGGAAATGTAGAAAGAAAAACGGATTGATTGGCATCGAGAATCTACAACTTTTTATCCCCCAACATGATCTGTCTCTCCAAACTCACAGATACAAATCCAAAAAATTCACGATAAAACTGTCCAATGTCAGCAAGATTCTAAAGAAAAAAGAAAACCTCGGTTATGCAAACACAGTTCCCAAGGCCAGATGCAAGTACCGTTACATAATATTGAAAGCGTCATTTCCGTTCCCATTCGTAAAGGAAGCAGAGAGGAAACATGGTGGTAGTGGTGGTGGTGGTGACGAGAGCGAGAAGGGGGTGGACCCTCCACGTGAACATTGCGAAAACACTGAGGGATTCTTCAAGATCAACGCTTTAAACCAAAAGTTCTTACCTTTACTAACCCTATTCTCGTATGTGGTGCCAAGTGTTTTTCACTTGTGCATCTAAAGACCAAAATTACCGTTCTTTTTTTTTCAACTTGAAAATGATTTGTGTCGGGAACAATGTCATTGCTTAATTAGTGGGTCATAACAATCGATGATTAACGCTCTATTCTTTAGGTAAAAAAACGTTTAGGGTTCACATTTCATTTGGACACGTTAAAAATAAGATAAATATAGTTGGTGGCCGTTGTTTTTTATATTAAAATGTCGTTTCGTGATTAGTCTGGGTTTTGATTAAAAATGCAATGTATGGATGGAGCTTTCGTTTCTTGGAAGGTGGGGTTGGGTTTTTCTACGTGCCTTACAACACGCATGCATTGACCCAATCCCCCTTTAATTAAGGTGTGACCATTCATTAATTTTATATTTGTTTATCCCACCCATGAATTGGTGAATGATTAAGAAAGTTGTTTTGTCTAATTAGGGTTTTAGCCCCTCTATTGCTGTAATAGTATCATTAGGTATAAATTAGAATAATACAGAAAAAAATATCTAAACTATACGGGATTTGAAATTTTCAGAAATTACAACTACACCCTTAACACCCCCTTGGTTCATCCTTGAAAATAACACTCTTAATTAATGTAATTAAATTAATCACATTTTTTTAAATAGTGTTATATATGTGTGTGTATGATCAAGATTCACTTATACATAGTGTAAAATTTTTAGTTTTACATATTTTTAAAATCGTTGAATGAGTGCAAATAGAGGACTGATATTTTTTTCTTCTGTGAATATCTTCTCATTCTCTGCAGTTAATTTCAACTTTCTATTTTCACTGATTCAACAATCCTAAATAGATGTAAAATTAAAAGTTTAATGTAATGTAAACGAACCTTAAATTACAATACAATAAAGGGATTGTAACCAAAATTAAGTTTTTTTTCTTTTTTTCTAAAAGAATATTTTTGTTTATGTCAATTTTCAAAAACTCGTATCTCAAACGCAAAATCAATTCAATATCCGACCAAACACAAAATTGAACATGTACACCAAAACCCGTTGAAGATCTTGACAATTCAAAACCAAACGTTCAATTATTCATATCCATATAAGTACACAAAGCGAAAAAAAATAGGCATTGTGAGTAATTGTTTTTATTAATGGGGTAAGACTTTGAAAGAGACGAGACGGTGACTCGAGGAGTTGTTTGGTTTAGATGACCGAGGGGTTGCTGCCTGCACCGAGCAAAGGGGTAAGGTCCTATCCTTGTTGTGACCCACCAATAAATTTAAAAGTCGTATCTTGTGAATGAGTGAGACTTTCAATGGCTGCCTCTTCAGTTTTTTTTGCCCACAATTTGAGAGTTGAAAACAATGGCTAATTAGACCACTCACTTACACACACACACAAAAACTGTCATTTTGAGGACCACACCAGTCCCTATTGACTGACGCTCTCATGAAATTTTGGGAAACAAATAAATGAATAACAACAAAAGATTGGTTTTTTTTGGGTGTAAGATATGATATTAATTACTCCTTGAGATTGTTCACATGACACAAGCATGATTCTTGCATGAACTGAAAGTGAAGGTAACTTTTTAACAATACACACATCAGCACCCAATTTGAATAGTATGAAAATTAAGACATTTGAATATAGAAAATTTCAGCTTTGGCCTCTCAAAATGTTTTAATTTTATCTCACACTTTTTTAATACAAAATCCGTCTCTTCCAATAATTTTGGCATAATGATAAAAAATATTTCTAATGTTTGATTTAATAATCATTTTAATCTTTGTTATTTTTTAGAGCATTTTGGCCCCCTAACGTTACATTTTGGGGCAAAAAACCCATTCGGAGATGAAAATCGTTAGTCAACAAACGATTAATGCTTAAAAATAGGGATTTTTTACCCTAAAATGAAACTTAGGGACCAAAATGCTCTAAAAGGGAACAAAACTAAAGTGATTATTATTAAGTCAAACATTAGGGATATTTTACCCTAAAATAAAACATTAGGATTCAAAATACTCAACAAAAAAAAGTAGGAGTCAAAATGATTATTTAATCAACCGCTAGATAATTTTTATCATTATATCAATATTTTTTATGAGAACCAAATGCATTCTAAATGTATTTTGATTATTTAGGTTTGAATTAACCTTCCTAAACTCACATTATCACATTAAATGTATGTAGAAATATGCCTCAATATATACAGGGTAAATTACATTCAAAGATTAGTTAAATATAGATTTGGTAATAAATCGTTCATTTAAAAAAAAGTTACAAACATGTTTATTAATTAAAATATTATTATAAACGGGTTATTTGTGATTGAATATTGAAGGAAATAATAATATGTATTGATATAATAATAGATTTAATTTTCAAACCTTATACAATCCATTAATTTGGTTCTAATTCGAAACAATCCAATAAATTTAATCTTTTGTATTTAAAAAACTCATCATTTTAGTCTTTGTTAATTTCCTAAATTGCATGTTATTTTCTCATAAATGATATATTACTTTCCTGTTATAATAACAATTTAATAGTAACTTATTTGTATTTTATGTTAGAATGAACTTATCCAACTATTGCTTTAATCCTATGAGCTCATTTGGTTTGATAGTATTGTAAAAAAGAAAAAGCCTAATTAACGAAAACTTTAAATGTGAATGATTAAATTTGTTGAATTGTTTTGAATTATGACAAATTGATAGAATATATAAGTTTTGGGGACTAAAAATGTTATTATACCAGACGACAATAGACATTAGATTCAATTTTAAAGATGGAGTGATCTGTTTATTACAATATTTTAATTGAATGTCATGTTTGTAACTTTTAAAAGAAGAGTGACATGTTTGTAACTAAAACTACAATTAAATGGCCTTGGGAGTAGTTTAGCATAAAAGTGTATATATCTGGGTATGGTCTCCACAGCAAAACCTGCTGTATTTGGGGCTTTCCTTGTCTGTGTTTGTGCAGCAACCACACATGCATGCTTGATGCTTCCAGCAATTAACCATTAACTATATATATATAATACAAAAGACAAGCCACTGTTACACGTGGAACCCTATAGAATTGCAGTGGAAGCATATATTTATCTAATTATAAATGCAATTATCCATGTTATAGGCTCGATGATATATATAATATTTGCAAAATGGGATGGCATTATTGGATATTCCATCCACTAGAGAGGAACATTAGCATATATATAATAATATTGGTGTAAAAAGATAAAAGATGTTGAAGTTGCAGATGAAGTTAATGAGCAGCTAGTTAATTTCAACCCATTTTATGGGTTACTCTTTGTTAGGTTATTGTGGTGGGGGTGGCACAATAAGTAAATGAGTAGTGGTCGCATGAATCATAATAAGCAAAAAGAAAATGGGCATTTGTTCCATGTCCATCATCGTCATCAAGAAAAGGAGTTGGTTAATGTGAGGCATGCACTATGTCAGGTGGATTTCACATATAGCATTGGAACCCGACACACGCAACTCGTGTAGAGTCGATGGCATGTGTGATTCTCGTGCAACTTTGACTGGATGAACAAACACTCTTTCTCAATGAACCCTTATCCCTTTGGTTTCATTACAGCAAAGCAAGATGTGCCTTTTTCTTTTCTAAATTTGACTTATTCTAGGTTTCCAGGAAACTCACTTCCCACCCATTTGACCCTTCCGGTCCTTGTTTTCCTCTTTTTTTGACGTTTTCAAAACAAGTCCCACTTCAACCCTATCTCCTTTCTTTTCAACTTTTACACTTTGAATTTTGAACCAAACCAAGTTTTGTGCTACCAAAAGCCACTCCTGACCTCACACTCTTTATAACCCCACTCTATATCATAAACGGACAACAGCTTTATGCTCTAGTTGGTGGCATTTTGGCTACATCGGGTAGGAACAACAGCTTTTTATTACCTAAAATTGATAATACTATTGGTTCATGTCCTTAAAGGAATTGTGTTGAATTTCGTCGAATTGTTTGAACACATTGTCAACTAATATCGTATTAAAATTTAATTAATCACATTCGATGAATAATAAATTAATAGATAAATTAAATATTTAATTTTTTTTTAAAACCATACCAGTAATTGAAAATCATGTGCTTTGAAAGCTATATGATCTAGAAAGATGAGTTAAAAAGAGATAATATATTGAAAGAAACTAGTATGATTCTACTGCTGAATGAGTGGTTGCGGAATTCATTCATTTCACGGGACCCAACCTATTCCACCGCCGAGCAATGGGAGGTCCGCACTTGCCCCTCACACGCTAATGCCATCAATTGCAACCTTTCATTTCTCCCACTAATATTCAAATCAAAACCAACGTTAAAAGGAACATCCAAATTGGTCAATTTTATGGTAAAAAAAAGCATCTACTGCTCAACCTATAATATATGTTATGCGACCCTTCATATAAGTGAACTTTTCATTTTGAGATCTTCCAATGTCACCTATGCGAAATTTAGAGGACGCAAATGCAAGACCTTGCAAACTCTTATAGTTGCATCCCACAAACAATCACATATCAATCACCTACTATCTCTATAAACACACCCATATAAATCATTTTCATCATGTGTTGACAACTGTAACCTTCTAGTCTAAGCTCTCAAATCCTATGATGTTAATACGATATAAGAGATATGACAACTCCTAACTGACACGTATTCAAACCATTATAAATATCAATTCCATGAAGAGAAAAAGACATACACCATCTTTCACCGTAAATCATCATCATCTCTAAGGCTATCGGAACCACCATCAGAACCACACATCTTCACCTTAAACCATCCTCTGTTGTTGGTCACTTCACCTGTTAATAGAATGTAACATTTTTTTGAATAGTATGAAGTGATTAAAAGATAATAATCGTTCATAATCATTTTTAATCATTGATAACGCACACACCCTGCACACATATCTATTCAAATTCATGACCTCTGAAGAGAACAACACTTTCCCTTTTATTGAAATCGCTTGATGGATTCATCCAACATATTTAAATCATATTGAATTTATTAATTACGTGTTACGATATAATTTACTAACAAAAAAATTATACCGGGGATAATAATGACGTAATGTTTTGCTTTAAAACTCATGGGCTGTTGGATCCAACAGGCAAAACCGGATATAAAAGCCTTCAAAAACTGGGTCTGGTAAGTTTAAATTGAGCGAAACTGGGGTCTTAGTATTTGAAGCTGCTTTGGAAATGGCCCAGATAATGTTCACAACTGTTCAACAAGTATAGCTTGGTGTGCATGGTAAAACAATAAAAACTATCTTGAGCGACATTGGATGTATAGTATACAAGTTGTTGAGTACTGAAATATCAACAAAATTTGTAAATTTAACGTGGAAGCTATACAAAGTTTAGAAGGATGTATTAATCTTAGAGGATAATGTTTAATATAATAATTAAATTAATTAGGATGAAATTACCTTAAGGCAGTAATTCACAGTATTATAAACTAAAATATCAGAATTACATTTCAAAAGCATTTATCGGACATCCATTATGATTCACACTATCTATTACTCAAAACATTAATATATATATATATATATCTATATCAAACTATATAAATCTTTTCCGTTAACATGATCCTCTTAAAATTCTTCTAAATCAATCTCAAGACCTTGAAAAACTTTCGAACCCATCTTATAGACTTCCAACACCATTATGTGAACTAGTTTACTAGTCTCCATCATTCTTATCGTACATCAACATAATTTTACTTAATAATATGCCCTCTTTTTCGTTTGTATTATTATGTGGGCTGGATTGAGATAAAAGGCCAAACTCATGGGACCCACTGCATCAAAAGCCCCGAACCATCATTCGTAAACACTACTACAACCGAAACGCGTGGCCGAATTAATGGCTAGATGGTCAGGCGATAGCCGCGATATTGGTTCACACTTGGCGGTGGATCTCAACCCAAGGCCATAGCGCGTGGAATTTTCCTCTTCTCTCCAGAGTCGCGACAAAATAACAGCTGAAATGGACCCCACTAGCGCGCACACACCGCTGAAAATGAAATGGACCCAAGATCTTATACAAAGGACAGATTACCTGTCTCATCTTAGGACGAAGTCGAGCCGAACGTGTGATGCAAAGTGATGCTGCTCGAACCATCCTATGCATTTGAGTCATCGATATTTCCATTCAAATTTGGATCCAGTATGCCTTTCACATCTCCACTCTCTATTATTGGCTTTGCCTTCAATTTTTCAAGTACATAAATTTTATTTGATCATTGATGCAGATGTGAATGGAACACTTTATTTTAGAGAAGACTCTTACCCACATGACCAAGCTTTGCTGGCCTTTCAGATTCTCAAAGCTTATCGGTCTTTTTCCTGATAGCAATTCGAGTAGAACAACGCCGAAAGCATAGACATCGACCTTGTCACTAAGTTTACCGTACATAAAATATTCAGGAGCTAAATACCCGAAGGTTCCAACAACATCAGCTTGAATTAGGAATGATGAATCAGTTGGTCCCCATATTGCTAACCCGAAGTCAGATAACTGTCACATCGGGAAAAAAACAATGACCACGCGATCGATTTGTGACGTATTTCATTTTCGAACAATGTATCATTTAAATTACCTTTGGTTCGAACCCATCTGAAAGAAGAATATTTGAAGACTTCACATCTCTATGAATAACAGGTCGAGAAAGCTCATTATGTACGTAGTTTAGGCCTTCAGCAATTCCAACAGCAACGTTATATCTGAGTTCCCATGACAAGGCATGTTTTCCTTTTTTGTTCCCTACAATATATGTTAGATTGGATCAATGGTTTACCACAACATTTATCAAGCAAAGGAAAAAAAAAACACAGATCTAGTTGAAGTCGTAGTGTTGTACTCTGCAGAATTTCTTCTAAGCTTCCCTTGGACGAGAAATCGTAGACAGATATTAGATCATGATCTTTAATGCAGACACCAATTAGAGGCATGATGTGTTTATGCTTAAGTGAGGAGATGATGTCGATTTCATTCGCAAAATCCTTGCATGCCTCTTTCGATGACTTCAGAATCTTGACAGCCACTGCTTTGCCATCAGGAAGGATCCCTTTAAAAACACGGTTGCTCCCTCCTTTTCCGATTAAGTTCTCTGCTATGAAACAGAATCTTAGAAAACTTAAAAAACACAAAAAAAGTAATTAAGAACACATCATTGGTTGCAAGGCAAGTTGGGGATAAAAACCTGTGGAGAATTGATCAGTTGCATCTTTTAGAATTCCATAATTATACCATCGGCAATCTGATGAATTCGTTTTCAGGAGTATATCCAAGCATTTTTGCAACTCATATTGCATAGATGAATTGGTCCCAGTCCCATCATTGTCATCTTCAGTTTCACTCTGATCTATTTTCTTGATTTTTGAACATCGAGGAGTATGATCATGAGGGGAACGACTTGGTAAGTTCATCACCCATTTGACAACCGACAAACTCCTGGCATGCTTTGCTTGTGGTGTTGCTTCACTAGCCCTCAGGAGGAGGGGCCAACCAGGCTTATAGTCTAAATTATCTATAGCAAAAAGAGGAATCGACCGTATAGTGATTCTCTTGTCTTCATGAATAACATTCAATGTTTCAATCTTTGAATCTTCACTACTGGCTCTTGATCCATCTTTGGAGCTTCGAATCCGTTCGAAACTGAATATCTCAGACCCTACTTCAGAGTCACCATATTCTGATTGACATTCTCTAACACCAAGGTTGTCGGACAAACAAAGACTTGGTCTCGGATCACCTTTAAGACCTGACATAATTGAAAGTACATCATCTAATTACTTATGAAGTCCACGGTAGAAACATGAAACAAGTTCCTTCTTATTTCTAGGACAGGTTAAAAACCAGACCTGGTGATTCACTATTGTTGGATCTTTCGAAAACAAATTTTCCATTGTTGATGGCCAGAACATTGGTAGTCGTTGGCAATCGCTTCGCGCAATATCTAGCCGTGGAAGTCCAACCCCTGAAAACATTATCTGTTTTTCTGAGTAATGAGACTAAGAATCACACCAATTTAAACAACTGAAAAGGTTTGAGTCTTTTTAACACAACTTACCCAAGAGCACCAAGCTTGTCTATACCCACAACTAAAGCAACAGCAGCATAGTTCACCGCCTCTCGAATCAAAACTTTTCGTATCGAACTTCCTTTACAAATCTCACCTTTAAGATTAACCTGAAAGCCAAGCATGAAAATTCTGGTAAAGATCAATATCTTTTTTTCATTCTTTTAAAGTGAAAGCCATCGAAATCCAGAGTTTCGGTAATGAAAGCAACCTTCTTTATAGAACACAGGCCTTCATATGCTTCTAGATAACGCTCTAACAACAACTTCTGCCCCAAAGCATGATCTACATTGAAACTTCAATTTAGTATTTAGAAGGCAAATTGTACAAAATTCACTGAAAAAGCAATGAAAAATGGCTTACCGGAACTCGGGGAAACATGAACTGCAACAACACAATCACCAGGCTGAGCAACTTTTACAATAGCCCAATTAAGCAAATCCCGGCTTTGATTATCAAATCGAATACCAACCACAACATTTTTCTTTTGAAAGCAAGGCATATTTTCTTCTCTTACTGCTTAGTTACACCTCAAATTCTTCGAAATATTCAAATCAATCTCTCCATACAACAAATCACCATCACCATGTTCTTTCAAGCTTAAAAAAATCCAAAAATACCCCAACAACACTGGGCACTTAACAAGTTAACCCTTTGAGATTATCAATGATACCCCATTAACATATTTGCATTTGAAAACCCAGACACAGAAAAAAAAAAGGAAACCCAGATCGAAGTGATGGGGGAGAGCCATAAGCTAAGATTGTTTAATAGACTAAACAAATCTACCGAAATTTTTGAGATAAAGAATACAGATAAACACAACAAGACAAGTGATTTGAGTACCAATACGTATTATTTTTTATAAATTATATTGCCGCCAAAGAACATCATCCCTTCTACCTGCTGCGACCAATTTGAATACTCTTTCGTATGTAAATGTAAACCAATTATAGAACAACAAAAACAAGTTATATTTTTTTTTTAAAAAAAGGAAAAGTTGGGTGATGATGCAGATATTCAATCCACTTTGTTTTTTAAAAATTAAATATTTAATTCTTTTTTGAGAAAGGGTCTTGAGATAAAAGTGTCGGCGAAGTACGAAAAAATATAAAAGAAAAGAAGGAATTCCCGCTAAGAGTGGGCAACGAATTTCATTTCAGAGATGACAAGGAAAAATATTAGAAGAATAAGAATTATTTATAAGCTTGTTAAAGGAACCGGCAAATTTCGCGCGAAACCCATGGTCGCAGGTCGTTTTGAGGGAGAATGAAGTGACAGAAACCGGCTACTGCGGGTTGACCAGCACTACCCTTTTGGATCTTTGCCTCTTGATTCTTGTTTTTTCAGGGTAAATTTATTTTTATTTTGTAATTTTTTTGGGGAAAAGATCTTGTTAGATATAATACGAATCATCAAGTAACTAAAAATAAAAAAATAATACACAAATTGTTAATTTTAAAATGATTTCTTTAATTAATTGTTTTTTTCTAATTGAAATATGGCTGTGTTTCTTAAATTAATGTAGACATGAGATTAGGTACAACCAGTGCTTAACTTCAAAAATTTTATAAACTAAATATAAACAATTTCAAACTTGTATTTATTATTATTATTGAGATTTTGGCAAATCTCAAAGATAGGTCGTATATCATTCATCAATTAATTTATTGAATGTTTCTTTTTAATTTTTGGTGGGTATATTTAAAGATGACAATTTAATTTTAATTTGATTTGATTCTATAAATATATTTTTAAAATTTATTATTGATTATATGTCTGTTTTAAATTTTATTGAAGAATCTAAAAAGTAAATATTAAGAACGTGTATAATTATTTTAATCTCATTTGTGGATTTTTTTTCCCACAAATCATGTAGGATAAGGACCACTTACACTAGCGTTTGGTGGGTTTTATACACCTCCATAAATTCTTGTACGGAATGATCTTTTAATAATTTAATATTTCGTTTTATATAGACTATTCATGTCAAATTTTAAGTAAAATAAATATATTTAATTATTTATTTTATATAAAAACTTAATTTTTAGATATTTATATTAATAAATATATTATTTTAGATCTATACGATAAAAATATCAGATTGATTCAAAAATTTACATGTATCTCTCCCTTAATAATATGCTCTGAAAAATCAGCATTTATGATAAACTTATGATTTATTTGAGCCAAGTGAATGAAGTAGAGCTAGTTATTATTTAAGGTGATAATAGTAAAAGCAATTGAATAAACTAAGAAAAAAAAACAGGTTGATTTTATCATGATAAGAATAGTCAAATTTCCAGTTACTGTTTCAGTAATTAAGGTAAGGCGGATCACTTTTGAAACATGGGACAAAAAGGTTTCGGGAAGGTGATTGGAAATGACGTACCCTGATTATTAAGCATGAGCTGAACCTAACCTATGTGCCATCTTAATTGCTTTTTAGTGCACCCAAGTACACATGTACAAACCAATTTGATTACCCTATTTTATTCTGTACAAAACGTATAATGAAATGTAATATAATATATTAGTCGTTTCAAGTGATATATCTATAAATATTTTTTAAAGTAGATACACATATATTAATAATATAAACTTTTTATATACGATAAATACAAATAAAATTTCAAGACGATTATAATTGATAAAATAAGTAACTAATTAAATAAAATTCAAGTTTTAAGATAAATTCCCCAACCACTTTTTTTCCTCTCTAAATCCTTAAGGTTGTCAACTTTTTTTAATTTTGTTTGACAGGCAATGATATTGATATTTATATTGTTCGTCGATCCTTTGCATTTTTTGTTTCTCATTTTTTTTTCTTTTAATAATTTTATATTTTTTACACGTTTTCGGTTATTTGACCATTTATTTTGCAAAATTTTTAAATGTTAGATTTAATGTCTCATCGATTGATCAAGATGTCACATATTTATTATCATGTTGAGTTTCTCTGTTTTGGACCCTCAGGTTGGACTTGAATACACGATTTACGTTCGTAGATAGTTTTCTTACGATGTTCAGTTTTGATTTACAATTGTTAGTAGTCTTTCAATAATTTAATCACTTGTTGTGATTCGTTTTCTAATGTAATCACATATTTGTTTCTATTTATATTTTGTTCAAATTTTAATCGTTTCCTTATATAGTCATTGTATGATATCGAGTGACTAGTTTATTGTGTCTTATAAAAATTATTTTAATTATATATTTAAAATAAAAAAAATTTATAATTTTAAATATTTTTAGTAAAACTAATGGATCTATTTACATAAAAAAACCATTTTTTATTTAAATCAGTTGAATTCGAAATTTATATTACTTTTTGAACGTGCAGAAATTTTGGTGTGAATGAATTCCATTTAATTAGTAGAGGAGTATTGGTCGGACAAAATTTGATATTTTGGACTGCTTGGTAAAATTTGAAATATTATTTGGCGTTTTTCACCTAATTCATGCGTCTTTTTAATCACACGTGTAATTTTGCATCAGCGGATCCACCGACTATTGTCATACAACATGCCACGTGTACATTATTGTCAGTCAATCGTTGAAAAATATGCTTTACGTAAAAAAATCGGTCCAAATTATTTTTAAAGTAAATTTTGCATGAGATCAGAGACCGTTTAATTACATGTTCAGAGGTGGACCATATACAAGTCAGACAGTAGAGGAAAAAAATGTGTTACAATAGTATAAAGTTTTATTTAAAAATAAAAAAAATAAAGAACATAATATGAAAGCGAACAACAAAAATAATAATCATCGACGATTAATAATTAATATTAAGTCGTTAGCTAAATTAAAAAAAGGACACAAAAAATATAAAAAAAGACGGTTAAAGAAAAGTTAGAAAACCCTAATAATTCCTTTATGAGTATAAGTTTAATTAATTGAATTAAAAAACACAATTTATTTAAGTTAACATGTGAAATTATAAATTTTAATGACAATATTTCAAAAAAATTATATTTGACTTTTGATGAGATAATGAATGATGAACAATTTTGGGTTTATTAATAAAGAAATTTATTTGGGGAGAAAAGAATGATGGTGCTATGCTAATAATAATGATTCAACTTCTTTTTTCTTTTATGGTTTGGTTTGATGTGAATTACAGTGATATAAAAACACAATGAATGTATTTGAGAGAAATTGACATCACAACCATTGCTGTTAACAATGGTGGCTTAAAAACAGGGCCGAAAGCCAAGACCATGCCATGCTCATCTTTATGGTTTCGTATTTATAATAATCACATTCAAATAACACGCAGAAAAGTAATGACCGACAACCATGGAAGCAAGACGACTAAAACAATGATCTACAAAGTTAACTTTCACCCGTCCTTATTTTAGAATAAGGACAGGCTACATGGTTGGGTCATCTAATTATAAAAAAAACGTTAACTTTAGCCATTAAAAAATATTTTTTGAAATAGATCACCGAAGTTAGGTTGTGTTTTCATTTTAGCCACCAACTATCCAATTTTTCATTTTAAAATCACGCTTTTTTTTAAATGATATGAGGTTATTACAAAATAATATATGTTTAAAACTTTCTTAATTTATTGATAATCTACAAACACTCTTCAAATGTAACTTATCAAACTCAAAACCTCTAAGAGAATAATATTTCCTTTTTTTTTTCTTCAATAACGCATATAAATGCACCATATGATACCTCAAAAGCATTTTAGATTTTAGTATAATATAAATTGAAATGTCAAGAATTATTATTACATGTGAAACTGATGAAAAATTATAATTTTTTTAATAGTTGATAATGGGTCATGAAAGAATTATTGTAAATCAAAAATAGAAAATAATTTTTGAAAAACATTATTAGTCCAATAATAAAATATTACACGAACTAAACATACCTAAAAGAATTTCAAATTCGAATAATAAAATATACCAAATCCAAGCCTCCCCTCTATTGATCAATTAGTTTTTAATATTTTCATTAAGCGCCAGAAGTGGGTAAATATTCATCACCAATCCCCAAACATTTGTCTTTAACTTCAATATTGTATTGGAATTTGCACATTAACCTACCTTCTCGGGTTTTTGCTACCAGCCATGTCCTTAGAGACCCTCCTACCCTTTTATAATCGGCAATGTGCCAACATTAGTTCTTTTAACTTTTTTTTATTTTTTGTAAATTAGCGTATTATTTTATTCTTCTAAAAAGATTCTTGGATGTTAAAAAGATTCCACCATTAATTTACACCTAGTGGACACAGTGTTATAGAATTAGGCTAACTTAGTGGACAAAGTGTTATAGAATTAGGCTAACTAACAGTCTATATATATATATATATATATATATATATATATATATATATATATACTAATTAAATTTCTCAAGGATTGTTTAACTTCAGTGCACCAAAACACAAAACATATGGCACCATGGAGTGAAAGGTTAATCAGTTTCCCATCGCAGAGTCCAATTGAATTCCAAAGTTTGCTCCTGCTCTACTTTCCTTCTCTTTGAATCTACATGTTTGTTTCTTTGTAGAGATGTGTCTTGTTTTACAACAGATTCTTTCCTGAGCGATGATGAATGAATCTTTAAAGCAAAAGAAAAGAAGACCGAAAATACGAATCATCGACAATGAGCAAAGGTTTATAATTTATCTCTTCTCTGACCCAACCATTTTAGATACTCCATTTGCTACTTTGGAACCCATTTCCCCTGGCATTTTATAACATATTATCAAACGTCGATAACGGGATATAGCATAAGATTAGCAATCAACATAAGCAGAGATGGTTTATAATCAAACACCTGTAACTGCATTAAGAAATCTTATGCCCTGCGAGTGTCTATTTGTTGTCACCTTATCTCCATTGCTGCTCATTCAAATACAGTTCAAAATCAGTCGATTCTCTACTTTGTTCTGTTTCTAAACGGGCTTATAGTTGCAGAAGGGATAATTGATGCTATCGGTGAAATACCTTAGTGCACGTTTAAGTGCTTCCACAGACAGTAGTTTAACTGGCTTAGACGGCTTTTTCAAGTTTGTATTATCAGATAGAGGATAAACCATGTATATTCCTTCTGATATAGGAGGATTTCTAAATGCTGTTCTCAAGTTCCTGTGAGATAAGAGGGCAAAAAATGTCAACTTGTGAACATCGAAAAAGGGGTTAATTGAACAATTTAATTTGACAATAAAAGGACACGGTAATGAAATGAATCATCAATCACCTACCCTCCCATTAGTTCGGTTCTCTTTGTGGAATATTTTTCTGATGCTTTCTAAAGAACATAACAGAAAAGAGTTATCTAGGGATGATTTACAAGTTACAACCTACTCCAGTGATGCTGGTAAAACAAGACAAAGATAAAGGTAGTGCAATGCCTACGGATTTGTGATATTGGCAGTAAGCACCTTGACGCCTGAAATAATAGAAGAAAACATTAAGAGTGAAAATAGAAAGAGATAAATTACGCAGACAAACAAACAAGGAAAATTGGATAACATATAGCCTTGTATTCAATTGATTTAAAGTAGCTGCATGATAAAACATAAGATACCAAATTGTATGAGAGAACATAACAAAGATATGAAATAGCTTCAAAAAAACTCAACAAAGTATGTAGTCATGATTTCATATCTAATTTTGTATCTAAGAGTTTCTCAAGAATCAGTCGAGCGCACAATTCATCAATCCACATTTCAAACATTCAGCACAAACCAGACTCCTTTGACATGAACCTACCAATGAAGTTTTAAAAAGTGTTGAGCATTTTCTGTTCTTTTGACATGACAGTTACCATGAATTGTAGGAAAGTTTTTACAAGCAAACTTCATTCATTCATTCAAAAAGCCTACTAGCATCATTGTAAATGATTTTTCCTTTAAAGTGTTTCCTGAGATGCTTGCTACTCTTACATCACTCAGATCAATCAATTACGCATACCATTTATTACAAAACAGATGTTTCTCTCGATCCCATTTCTAGATCAGGTCAAGTACACAAGGTCCATTGTGCAAAGACAATCAATATATCAAAAGAACCCTAAGGAAGACATGTAGCATACTTATTTACAACAAGCGTGCAAGCCATCCCATCTTTTCTTTTTCCCTTGCAGACTCCATAGTCAGCTGAGGTACCAATCTTTAGAATTTGGTTGGATGCAGTAGCTCTCAAGGAAAATCCAGATCCCTACAAAACAACACAGAAGGTATTACTTTCTTCATGAAGGGTACCAGATATAACCCAATTAAAACATGGCAAAATTGATACCTTGGAGTCTTTGCGAACACTGCAACTGAACAATGTAACAACTGTTCCAACCTGCTCCTTACAATTCTGCTCATAAGCATCACCAAACAAAAAAAGAGAAATGGTATTTTCATCTAAGCACCCAATTTTCCATATGCAATAGCTCTGCCCAATTGAACTAGTCTTCGGAGTTCCCTTTTCAGTCAACACTCCTATGGTTGCCCAACAACCATAAAGTGTGTCTCCCTCAACAAAATCCTGCAAAAAGCCCAAAATATATTGTCATCTACCTGATGAAGTTTATGTATAGCAATGCTTTATCAAAGCCTTAACAAGTAATAATCTAAGGTTCAAAAACAATATGTATAAGCATAATGTACAAGCAAAAGTATAATTACATACTTTATAGTTGATAGCCGAACAAAACGAATATCAGATAAATGCTCACTTAGTTCCGCAGGTCTGACCAATTGCTTCCTATCAAACAGAAGAAAATGTTGTCATTTGGCACTTAGTATATATGATTTGTTTTGAAAGAAAAGCGCATAAAAGTGGTGAAGTGGTTTATTGAATCAGAATAGTCAACTAAATCTATGGAAGTTGAAGTGTTTGAACTTGGCCTTCCCTTATACGCAAACCTGAAAACTTTACAACTCGAATATCATTGAACTCGATGGCTTCGACTTTGCATGTCTCTCAACTGGTTTGGGTTCATAATCAAGTAATCTTCGACAAATTTCTTAAAGACAGACAAGTCTGATTTTCCTCTTTGCCTTGGCGATCCATCATCTGATAGGTACCCTACAAATTTAGCCCAAATAAACTTGTGAATAAACCGAGAGATACCCATTATCAGACTCGAAAGCAAGAACAAAAATAACCGAAACCCATACATAAAAACTACAAACAAAAGAAAATAGGAAAAACGCAGAAGCAGAAACCCAATTTACAACTAGGGAGAAATAAAAGATACCTAGAATGGGTTTTTAATGAGCGAATCCAAAATAAAGTCAAAGCAGCGATCAGAGAAAATATGGGGAAGTGTTCAGCGATGGACGAGATTTCACCTGGAGAATGAGAATGTGGATTTGAAGGGGAAGCAGGAGGCGTTTCCAGAACACTTTCTTGAAGAGAGAGAAGGAGATCAAGATCGTCTTCGTGGCTTGTCATTGGTAGTATTGTTTAAGTAAAGCGGATTTGGAGTAGAGGGAGATGATTTTAAAGCCATCTTTTATCAAAAGAAATGAAATTGATGGAAAAGAAGAATAAGAAAATTGACTAGTTATATGAGAAGAGGGAGGGAGGGGGGGGGGGGGGGCTTTCTCATATGTATTGTGGAGGGAAACCTAAATTGTGTTTTAGAGGGAGGTTCGCGGATTGGCCTAAACTTGAAGCTTTCTTACCAAAATAATATCATAAAAATATTTATAAAATTCACTTACTAATTATAGGAACCAAGCTAAACACAAATGGCATTCGGCAGCATGCATCATTGTGATGGAGTGTTGCGTGATCAACATAGTAATTATTTATATCAGGGGTTTATAAAAGTAATCGGATCTTGCTCGGTGCTAATGTGGAATTTTAGAGAATCTTTGAGGGACTACGTATTGCATGTGACTTGGGTTTATGGATAATTTTGATGAAAACTGGTAGTAAGAAGCTCTCTTTGTTCTTGGTCGGGGATCGGGATTAGGTGATTCTTCGTTGATAGAGTCACATATATATTTAGTCTTATCAAATAAGATTGGAGGTTGCACTTTCATTATATGCCTCGTGAATGCAAGCAATATGATAGTTGATGGAATGGTTATGGTGTAGAGTCGTTCGTTTCAGGTTTACATTTTCTACGACTCATCCGTTAAGATTAGAGTTGTAGTTCATACGCAGATTTGAGGTCGTGCTTCGTCCAACATTTCTTCTTGGCCTGATCTATTAGTGCCCGTTTTATCTTATATTAAAAAATATATATTTTTGTTAATTGTTGGTTAATTAATATATTTTTAATAAATACTTTATATAATTGGTTTTTATTTGTTTATTTATAACATTAGAAAGTATTTACCTAGATCCATCGTATAATACTTAAAGCAAGTTGAAGTGTTTTACGTGCTCTGAGATTATACGCTGCAGTCAACACTTATTTCGATACTCATGAAAAAATCTTGCATGTGTGTAACGTATAATTATTTTAGATAATATTTTATTCCAGTTAAGTCTCTCAATCCATAATGGTATTGTGATTGATAGGAATTATACATTGGATGGTCTATGTTATCATGTGCTTAGAAGAAACTGGATGATTAAAGCGGTGCTTGGAACTATATGAATTGGTTAAAAGAAAATTTCAAGAATTTTAATGAAGACTACTTCGAACATAAGGTGCATACATTCTAACGACTATTTCAAGAATACCTTTCGAACATGTCCTCATATATTAAATATCATGAGAGATTTTGATACTCGATAAATATTACAACCAATTATATTTAATGTGGTTATAGAACCTCGAAAAAATTGTTTAGTGATATCCTAATGATCGTGTAGCATTCATTTGATGCTTTTAAATAAATAAATATTCTGAGAGTTGAAGATAGAGTTATAGTAGGAGTTTGCTTTTGTTACCGACTATATTATACCTCCAGCACTCTATTAAATAAGCCAATCACTTCAACGCAACTCATCCTTCCTACTGTGCTACGAAAAAACGCAATTCCTCCTTCTGCTGCTAATAGAAACGCACTGTGCTAAGAAAAATGCAACTTTTCCTTCAAGTCCAAAGCATGGAGCTTCCTCAAAAGCCAGTGATTGTTCGACAAGTCTTTCGAGATGAATTGGAATATGAATTTAGATTAATTCAAAGTGTGATTCTTGAGTATCCTTTAGTTTCAATCGACACTGAATATCCTAATACTATTTTCAAAGCAGATAAAGAAATCATTGCATTAAGAGACGAGCATATCAATTATCAGTACATGAAATCCAATATTGATATTTTGGATATGACTCAGCTAGGTTTAACTTTTTCGGACTATGAAGGTAATCTGCCAGACTTCGATACGCCGTTTTGTTACATATGGGAGTTCAACTTTAAGGGTTTCAGAAAGAATAAAAAGAAGGGTATTGATTCCAGAGATTTTGCCACGATGTTCTGGAATTTGGGGTTGTTCAATTATTTCAGAGGTTTAACGTGGATGGCCTTTCATGGTTCTTATGACTTTGGATTTCTAGTTAAGGTTTTAATTCAACAATCGCTACCGAATGATCTTGATTCTTTTATGGGACTATTAGTCTCTCTTCTTGGTGACAAAATATTTGATGTCAAACATAATTTGAAGTGTTTCGGCTTGTTGGGTAGTTTGGATAAAGTTGCGAGAGAGTTAAATGTGGTTCGTCTAACTGGGTTGAGCCATCAAGCAGGATCTGATTCTTTACTCACCCTTCAATGTTTCACGGAGTTGAGAAAATTGAATGCTTTTGAAGGGTTTCAAGTGCTTGCACTCGCATTGTATGGGCTTCAGTTGTAGGTCGACAATTCTTTCATATAATTTTCATAATGTTATATACTTTGTCGGATTATATTGAAAAATTTCAAAGTAAATCTAGTTTATTTTAGAATTGGTTGTCAGTGGGACGAATTTATAATTTATAATTGAAAATTTCAATTTTCTTTGATTTAATGTTTAATTGTTATAAATAATGAAAATCAACACCCCAATCTGCCAAATAAGAAATTCTATCTCGTGACTAACAATCAATTTCAACTGCTAATAAGAAAATAAAAAAAGAAACATTAAAAGCATAAAAGGGATAAAATTATAAGCATTGAGTCTTTCCAAAAGATATTACACTAGGAACAGAAAGAAACAAAACAAGGGGCAGTCACCTGATTTATTCCTCCTATTGACAAGAAATCTATTACTTTACAATGCAAAAAGAGCTTATAGTTTACATAAAAGTAATTGTTAGTAATGCAGCTTAAAGGTCGGGGTAGAAATTGTTGTGCCGCATTGCCTTTGCTTCTTCCAGCTATCCTCTGAGCCTCAAACATCCCTGATTTTGGCACTAAATTTACTATATAGTATCAATGCCGTTTCCCGTTACTCCTCTACAATCCAACCAACAATGTTACATGTATTAACTTGATTCTTTAAAACTTTTCTATTCTTATTTATCGATGAGATTCTTGGTCAGACACATTTACAACCATTATTCTTAACAAGTCATTCATCACCATATTCGTAAAGTGCGCCAATGAATAAATCCACCTAATTGAAATATGGTGACATCAGTAATGTTGAGGCTCAATTATTTAGGTTTCTATAATAATAATGGATCTCATCTCCATAACTATTTGAGTTTGAGGCTCAATTTTAAGTATCAGCAGTGTTAAAACTTTAACCAACCGAATATCAATTTTAATTCATATTTAGTGTTAAGGTTTATATTAAAATTTTAGTTTAGTATTTTAGATTATAAAATTAAAAAGGAATAATAGTCCTTTTAATTTTGTTATTAACAAGCAGTACCCATTGAAAGTCAGTGTTACATAGCCATAATTGCATGCATGAAAAAAGGGATTGTCTCATGAAAGGCGGGTTAATATACGGTTAATATACGGCGTTACCGGATACATTAAAAGATATTTAATAAATTCGGTTTAGCGCTACCGGAAATGTTGACTAATAATAATGTAGTATGTCTAAGTCATGAAGAAATATTAAAAAATTGTGCAACCAGCAAACTTAACTTGTCGGTTCGTGTCGATCCAAATTAAAAATGTGTCGATCCAAAATGATATAACAGGTAAAACTATGACAAAACCGGTATTGAAATGATAAAACCGGTAAAACGCTATCGGATACATTTAAAGTGTCGATACTTTAATATAAGGATCGACACTTCGTGAATTTAAAAGAGAAGCAGTTTTAAATCCTATAAAGTGTCGATACTTTTAAAAAATGTATCGATCCAAAATGATATACCAGGTAAAAATATGATAAAACCGGTAAAACGTTACCGAATATATTGAAAGTGTCGATACTTTATATAAGGATCGACACTTTGTGAATTTAAAAGAGAAGCAATTTTAGCGCCTATAATGTGTCGATACTTTAAAAAAATATATCGATCCACAACAATATAACATTTAAAAATATGATAAAACCGATATCAAAATGATAAAACCGGTAAAACGATACCGGATATATTGAAAGTGTCGATACTTTCGTAAGTACGTGTAATAAATTATCGACACTTTCAAAGAAATAGGTAATTATCCTTTCGAAAGTATCGACACCTGGCATAAAAGTATCGACACTTTTGTATTTGTATCGATTAAATATAAATAACATATCCGATGAAAATATAAAGGCCATATCTAAATATCCTCTGAAAATCGATAGAACGAACGAGTTTTTGAAATCGAAACGTAATTGTTGATGCATTTCAGAAGGCGTTTCTAAAGCGATGTTTGTTTGTTTGTTGATGCAGTCGAATCGAAAAGTATGTTGTCGAAACCCTAGTTTTTTATTATTACAGTAATCGCGAATAGGGTTTTTATGTGTTGTTTGGGGTTTTGGAGTAAAGAAGCATTTGTGACCGATTGCAGGTAGAAAGTGATATTGAAGGTAAAATTTAAATGTCGATACTTTTATTAAATATTATAGGTAGAAAATGATATTATAGGTTGTATAAATGTGCCGACACATTTTGTAGTGGCCATTCAAATTCTTTTGAAGAAAACCGTTTTACCACAAGAGTAGTTATCTATATTTGTATATTGAATAAAGTGTATGTAACAAAATAATTTGATTTACGTAAACTGATATACGAAGGAAAAATGGAGTCAATGGGTTGGAAAATTGTTGGTGGCGCAGATGACTTTGAAATTGAGGCCGAGACTCGAAAGCAACCAAAGGGTGGATATATGTACTTTTAGTAAGTATCAATGTCTTTTTGTTATTATTGTTTAAATGGTAATTGGATTAAAGTATCGATAAATTTTAAATTGATTACAAATTTTAAATGTTGACAGTATGGCCGAATGCAAAAGGATGAAGGAAGATGGCACACAGAGCGGTTCGGTATGTAAAATGAAATTGACATTGAGTAGTATTTAGTGTTAATGTATTGATTAAGAAACATTTATGTTTAATATTAGGTGACAAAAGATGTGAGGTCCAAATGGAATTCAATGAGTGATGCTGAAAAGGAACCTTACATCACACAGTCAAGGAATGATAGTAAAAAATACAAAGAACGGAGGAAAGCACATGAAAATAAGGTATTCATTAAACTTGTAAATACGTTGATACAAAATATATAAGAACTATAACACTATATATTGTTAAAAAATGTAGGAAGTGTCGACAAGATGCAGCATTAAAAGGGTGAATTCATTAATTAAACACCTTAAGGAGAAGGGTCAGTTGAATGTGCTAGGAGAAATAGGTTTTGGATCGTTGGTAGGAGTAAGGGATCGACCTATTCGGAGGGAATTGTGTCAATCCTTGATGGCGCAATTTGATGTCAGAAAATGTATTGCTAAGTATGGTGATTTTTCATTTCCTCTCGGGATCCCATGTGCTGCAGCCGTATTGGGGGTAGAAAATGAAGGCAAAAGTGTTGTAAAAGTCTGTAAGAGTAAGGGTTGGAAAGCACTTGCCTCCAAATATGGTTTGAAGTAGAAGGTGACATATGCTGAAATTGAAGAGGAAATAAAAAGTGGATCTTACGTTGGAGATGAGCTGAAGGCCAGAGTTCTATTATACCTTGTCGGTATCTTTCTTTGTCCAACGGGTCATACGTCAACGAACAAGGAATATATGAAGCTCATTTGCGATGAAGGCTTGAAGGGTGAATTCAATTGGGCTGAATATATCCATTCGAGATTGATTGAATCAATAATCACCTTTAAAAAGGGCAGCCAGAGATACCTCAAAGGGTGCATAGCAATCTTAGAGGTAAATGAGTTGAAGAACTTTTTTGTGTTTTTATATAAAAATATAAATTTTATTATAAATGCAGGTTGCACTGTTCGATTTTTGGTCAGGCTGTGAGGCAGTGCCGGCTTATGAAAGAACCGGAGTGGCACGCATCCGTGCATGGGGGAAAGAAGAGGTGGTTAGAGTGATGGTGAAGTTGAAGTTGGATAGAGAGAAGAAGCAAGAAAGGGTAATAAATGTAATTAAATAATATTAAAAATATAATCAATGTCTTAATATTGTAATTTAATTTTGAAGGTTATTGGCAAGGATGTAGAGGAGGATTGGCTACCTTCTATACCACTTAGCGGTGAGTTAAATTAATAAATGGAGGTAAGTAGTGTTATAGAAGGTAAATTAATAATATTTGTTGCGTAATTGCAGCAGCAGGCGTTGGATGCCAACAACAAATAAAGTGTTGAGAGTATTGCTACCTTCTGGGGTCCCATATTGAATAACTATGTGAAATTCACCGACTGTGAGAAGGTAAGACACCATACCAATTGCAAATGATGTTTTGGGATATAGAATGTTGAATTTTGTCAAATTGGGTGTGAAATTTGTTGCAGATCATGATCACAATAAACTACCATAATTTACATTGGTATCTGTTGGTGTTGGATATGGTAGATCGTGTTGCAACAATATATAATAGTATGTTTACAACTGAAGCAGCTAAACAGAGAGTGAAAGATGCTAAGAGATTGGTATGTATGTATGTATGAAAGGACATTATGTAAATTATAATGCATATTTTTTTTGGATCATAACTTCTTCTATTTTAATGCAGATTAAAATATTAGATTTTTATAATAAGAAACGCATTTGGGTTGAATCCTGTGGATCTCTAGGAAAGTATCCCTTGAAAAATTTTAAATTTGTGGAGCATAAGAAGAATAAACAATTGAATAGGTATGAGATGTTATCACAAATAGAAAGCTTAATTTATGCAGTATTCATCATAATTGACATGTGTGGTTTTCAAATTTTGTAACAGACATGATTGCGGCATGTATGTGATGATGTGGATGGAATCGATCGGTTCTACAGGGGCAACTGGTGATTTTGTAAGTGGAAAGAAAAATTCGTTTGTGGTAAAATTGTTAAAAGTCGTAGATTGAATGCTATAGTTTACAATACTTAACGTTCTGACAATTTGAATATAGGTTGTTGGAGAGTGGGATCGATCGCGAATATTAAACGATCTCGTAAGCCACAATCAAAATCAACGAAGACAAGAGATAACAAAAGCTGCCATGATACATAAGAATAACAAAAGGATGCAATGATGTAAATGTAGGGTTAATTTTGTATAAGATTTATAATTTTGTATACGATTTATAATTTTGTATGTGAATATAATTATGAATGAGATGAGAAAAGTTAGCAGTATGTTGTTGTACATGTTTCTTATATACATTAAGGGTCATGTTGATACTTACGATATATGGAGATTGTTGTCTGTATTATACCAAATGTCATCATAATTGTCATCATGTGCGAGAATGAATGGTCATTCCATATATATTGAGGGTATGTAC